CCACAAGTCTTAAAGTTGCCAAGGTTGGACACCCCTGTGTTAGAGGAAAGCGACTGTCAGCTAAACTGGATGGGCAAAAACCCAGTGGTCAACTCTGAAGTTAGCCTGAGTGAGGCCATCTTGGAGGCTTCAGTGTTGCCACAATGGTGCTGAGGGATAGGGTGGGGGGGAATAGAGATAGCTGGGGCTTTTGTAGCCAAAACAAAATAGTTTCCCCTGAGAACCAAGGACATTCCCACAGGTGGCTGAAAGAGGAGGAGTAACGTTTCCAAGCAACCAGACAGCACCCTGATTGGACCATGTGACTGATTGTTTGGGAAAGGGAGACAAACTTTTACTTTTAATTAAGGTGAAAACCGTGGGAACCTTTAGAGTCGGTTTTCACCAGTCTGTGCCAACATGACAGACCCAATACATTTGTTCTTTGAGTGTTGGAAGAAATATCCTTCTGGGTTCAGTTCCAAGTGGGGAAAGAAAGACACTGGAAACATGGTGACTGCTTGGAAAGATGGTTTAATGGTGCACAGGATCACATGCCTTGGAGCTCCTGGGTGAAAAAAAGAGAAGAGATGCTGAGAGTCCCTGGGTTTTATGCCCTCTGTTGGGATTTGAATTTGAGCTTGTATTCTGATTGGTTGTCAGACTCCCATGGGGCCACGCAGGGGCAACTCTGTAGGCTGTCCCAGGCTTGGAGTCCCAGGCTTGGTTCAGCCTTGCTGGGTGATGATGTCATGAAAGGGCTTTGGGCAATTCCTATTATAGCTCTGCCTGAAGGTGGTAGATCTTTGTTATGTAGAATGGGCTGGCCTATGCCAGAGTAATGGTCCATTAGCAAAGGGGTGTGTGTGAGTTTCTGCCTCTCTGAGTTTTTACTTTTCTTTTTAGGGGAAATATTCTGCCTTTTTAAGTATATTCTAAAATATTTCATTTTCCTAGGAGAAGGGGTAGGTTTAGCCTACTGCTGTGCCAGAATGGTTTTTTCTTCATCCTGATTGGTTGGGAGTCTTGGTCTATGTTTATTGGTCTTGGAGTTTGCTGTGTTCTGCTTGATTGGTGTTTCTAATATCTTCTGTCTGTTTTGTAGCATTTTTTGTCTTGATTGGCTGGAAACATTGTGTTCCTGTATTGAAGGCTTTTAGTGCAGCTTGGCTCCGGGTAAATGGACGGCTATCATTAGTTAGGAAGCTAGGTTTCATCTGGGTGCCTGGTTGGGATGTGTTTGGGCTGGAGGTATGGGGGGGGGGGTCTGTTTGTGCCCAGGTGTTTGCCTGGCTTGTGGTGTGGAGATTTTTTTGTTTGTGAGTGCAGGCTTCCAGATAATTGACAGTCTGATGGAGTCATCTCTTCTATTCATGCTTTCAGGTCTTTTTTCAATCTCTATGGCTTCTCTGATAATTCTGTAGCTGGGGTTTTCTATTGTGGCTAGGGTTTTGGTGGCTAACCTTTTTGGGCTCCCATGCCAATAATTGCGCATGCGCTTGCCTGCTCGTGCTCGCGTGCCATCATCCAGAAGGCAATGCGCGCAGACCCCCATGTCTCCTGTGCATGCGTGCGTGACCTGTGTGACCTGAGCTGCATGCTCCTGTGCATGCACGTGCAACCCCATGTGTGTCACATGCTTCTGCGCATGCACGAGTGTCTCCTGCGCCCCTCGCCAGGGGTGGGATTCTATCGGTTCGCACCTATTTGCTAGAACCGGTTGCTAACATTCTAAGCAGTTTGGAGAACCGGTTGTTAGAAGAAATTACTGGCCTAATCCTGTAAGGAAGTCAAGAAGGAAACATGCTGGGGTTGCTTACAGAAACTGCCTCTCCGTTAACCCTTATTACATTCTTGGCAGGACTAGACTTTCTGTCTCAGGAACTTCTCTGGAGGTTTTTTTTCCCTTTGAATGGGAGTGACCACTCAAAGTTACAAAGGCACTGAAAAAAGTGACTTATGACCACTTTTCTTTAAAAAAAAAAAAGAATTTTTATTTTTAAAAACATACACATACAAAACATAAAAACATAAAACCATCTTCCATTTTATATACATACAGTGTTCAGTTGGTTACAAATCTTTTGTGCTATCTTTTTGTAGTCATTTACTCACAATTTATATCAATTTTCATATTGTCAAACTAACATATGCTTATATATTTATCAGTTATTAATCATCCATGACTAAACTATGTATTCCATCATTTTATACAAGATGTTCCAAGTTTTATCTTAAAATTTATACTTTCAACCAATGGCTATATATGTCTATATTATGTCTTCTATCAGTCTATTAAATTTCTATCACAAAATTATCTAGTCTATTACATGACCATGTCTTTTTGTCCAACCATTGATAAAACAAATCCCATAGACCATTTTTCACACTTACAACTGTTGCAGCATCCCCACAGTCATGAGAAGCCAGGTGAGGAGATGCGTGCCTCCATGTGAGTGATATTGAGTTGGTCACACCCAGCCAGTCACATCACCACCAAGCCGTGCCCACCACCTAAGCCACGCCCACAGAACTGGTTGTTAAAAAATCTGAATCCCACCCCTGGCCAGAAGTTTCACTTCACAAACATTTCACTTAGCAACAGAAATTTTGGGCTCAATTGTGGTCATAAGTCGAGGACTACCTGTACAGGCAATCCTTACTTTTCCTTTCCTTTTGTCGAAGCGCCCCCCACAACGGAGTTAGGGATGCAGTACTGCAATGACATTTCCAAAGGTGCTTTTTTTCAGGAGGCAAGTGGACTTTCTTGTTTATTATTTTGAAGATGTTTTGCTTCTCATCCAAGAAGCTTCTTCAGCTCTGACTGGATGGTGGGGAGTGGAAGGATTTATATACTCCTTGCAAACAGCTGGTCATTTGCATCCTTTTAGCAGGTAGTTGAGGCCACTTGGAGGTTTATGTGTCCTCAGGGTCACCTGAGTAGTGTTCCTGTAGTCTGCAGTTTCATTTCTTATTCCCACACCATTCCAAGGGTGTTCATCCCAAATTGCATAGCTAAGTCTGTAGAGATTCTCCGTCCTCCAGGTTGTGGTTGTCCCAAAGGTGTTTTTTCTTCAGGAGACAACTGGACTTCGTTTTTTATTTTCCCTTCTCATCCAAGAAGCTTCTTCAGCTCTAACAGGATAGTGGGAAATGGAAGGCTTTTTATTCTTGCGGATTCCTTCCCCACTATCCTTCCTGTCAGAGCTGAAGAAACTTCTTGGGTGAGAAGTGAAACATCTTCAAAGAAAAAAGCAAGAAAGTCCAGTTGCCTCCTGGAAAAAAAAAAAAAAAACACACCTTTGGGACAACCAGGACGCAAGTGACTGAGAATCTGTGCAGACTTTTTGCAATGGCATTTGTTACTGGACCAGGTGGGTTGAGAAAGCACCACAGGGGGGGTTTACAGACTACTGAGCCAAAATCCAGGTTTTAGCTTCTTGCAGCTTAGCCTATCCTGCACACTGCATGGTTTCATCTAGGCACCATGGTTAAACTATGGTTTTCTAGAGGAATGTACCCGGCCCATGCACGATGCTAACAAAGCACCAAATCTCTGCATTGGGGCTGTCCTGCTTTTTTGCAAACGGTGTTTGATTTACAGCCACAAGGGAGAAGCCGACCCGCACCCGGCGACGAACTTAGCACCAAGAACGCGCAGAAGCTGCGCGTGCGCGGAGGCGCAGCGAGGCCGACGTGCGCGCGCATACCTTTCTCCTTCCTCGACCGCGCCTGCGCGGACGGGTCCTGCTCCCACCCCACCCCTCCACCGCTTCCATCCCCGTCTTCCTCTTTTCCATTTTGCCGGCGTAACCAACCTTGATGACCTCGTCTTCGCCGCCTCCTCCTTTATGACATTGATGGGCGCGTCAGCCGCCCAATGGGCGCGCGGCAAGGCCCCGAAGAGTCGCTCAGCAGCGGCGACGGCGGAGGGAAGGAGGCGGGCTCTGCCGCGGGCGGGGTTGTCGTTTTCTGTCCCCTCCCCCTAGCATGTTCGGGTGAGGCCTTTTGGGGCGCTCGGGGCGGTGTCTCGGGCTCAGTGTGGGCGGCGGCAGCGGCCGGGGATGCGGCGGCGGCAGCGGCTCTTCTTCATGGCGTCGCCGCAGCTGCCGGGCGCGGCTGGACGGAGGTAGCCGGAGCCGCGCTGAGGCGGCCCGGGCGGGCGGGCGGGCGGGCGAGCGAGCGAGCGATGGAGGATCAGGCGGCGCAGGAGGAAGGCGAGTCCGAGATCCAGGAGCTGCACGGCCCCGAGCACTGGTTCAGCCAGTGGGAGCGGCAGTGCCTGGCCGAGGCCGAGCAGGACGACGGCGGCGGCCTAGGCGGCGGCGGGGGCGGCCCTCTGCCGCCCGAACTGCAGGATGACGACGAGGCGGCCGCCGCCGCCACCCCGCAGCCGGAGCCCAAGCAGCAGAAGCTCTGGCACCTCTTCCAGAACTCGGCCACCGCCGTGGCGCAGCTCTACAAGGGTGAGCCGAGGCCCCGCCGCACGTGTGGATGCCGACGGCGGGCGGGACACCCCCCCCCCACGGGAGGGGCGTTCTCCCTCCCCTCACCCGGGTGGGAATCTTTGGGAGTGGTCGTCCGAGGCCCGGCTCGGATCCCCCCGCCAGGCGCGCTCAAGATGGCGGGGAGGCCTCATCGCCGCTGCCCCGTCGCCGCTTCTCTTTCTTCCCCCTCAGCCGGTGAATGAAGCGGCTCCCCGCGGGGGGGGGCACAATGGATTCTCCCGTTCTCTCCCCCCCCCGTCCCTGAGGGAGGGTGGTCTCGCCCGGGCCCTTGGCCCCTCCCACCAACAAAATGGCGGTTGGGGGGGGCTCGAGTACACGGGATGGGAAGGGCCTTAACGGGGAGGGGGCCGCCGCCGCCGCCAATCGAGCCAGACGTAGTTTGTTTGTTTTTTAAAGAGGGGGCGCCCCTCTTTCTAAAACCCCTCCATCGGGGGGAAATGGAGTATTCCGCACCACTCTCTTTTTTTTCCTACCCCCCCCCGGGGCGGAGTTGGACGCTTCCAGGCGGCTTCCGTCCTGCTGGGCCTCTTCTCCCCCCTCTCAACCCCCCTCCCTCCTCCCATTTCCTGCGCTTCCGTCCCGGCGGCGGCGGCGGCGGGTGAACAAAATGGCGAAGCGCAACATGGCCGGGCCTGGAATAAGAAAGGGGGGGGGGGGGGGGGGGGGGGTAGGCGGTCACGGCGAGGCTCACTTCTCCCCTTTGCTCTCCCCGCGCAGACCGCGTGTGCCAGCAGCCCGGCCTCTCCCTCTGGGTGCCCTTCCAGAACGCGGCCACCGCCGTCACCAACCTCTACAAAGGTGAGCGGGGGTGGGGGGGGGCGGGGGCGGCGGGGGGGGGGGGGGGGGCGTCGGGGGGGCCCCCGGGGGGGTCTCCTGAGAGCCCAGAGCGGGGGGGGGGCCACCCTAGGGGCTTGCAGGGCTGGAAGAAGGAAGAGCGCCGGCAGAGCCAGCTGTGTTTACTCTGCCTAGCTTCATAGGCTTGGGGTAGAGACTCTCGGGCCCCCTGGGTGTAGGGTTGCCCGGTGGAGCAGGGCAGAGGGAGAAGCGGGCTGGAGGGCTTTTCAATGAATCGGAATAGAGTCGGAAGGGACTTTAGAGGTCGTCTAGTCCAGCCCCCTGGCTCAGGAAGTAGACCCTCTACCATTCCAGAGTAAGAGAGTTGGGACCTTGGAGGTCGTCTAGTCCAGCCCCCTGGTCAGGAAGGAGACCCTCTACCATTTCAAACAAACGGCTGTCCGGTCTCTTCTTAAAAGCCTCCCACGATGGAGCCCCCACAACTTCTCAGGGCAAGTCGGTCCACTGGTTCTCTACAGTGAGCAACTTTACCCAGTGAGCTCTGGGGGGATTCTGGGAGCCTCAGGAAATGCCTGAAAGAGGCTTCAGGGGGAACTACAATCTGTCTCCTCACCTACTCTGTCAAGTGACTCTTGCAAGGTGACCCTTCGGTGCCTTCTTGTCAGCCTCTGGCATGGGAATGTCAGGGGCAAAGCCGGCTCTTCTCCAGGGCCTGAGAGAGGAGGGGAGTGGTTAGAATTGTTTTCATGCTTAGGACCTTCCTCATTGCAAGACTCACCACTGGAGTTGGTGCCAGTCAACTTCAAGCTGTGGTCTGTATGGGACTACACTCACCCAAGGCCAGGTGCTGCTGGGGCCACTGGCACTGAAAGAATCTGGTCACTAAAACGTTCCTCCGTCATCTTTTATGAGACTTTTTTAGAAATTGAGAGTTGGTGGGGACCGCTTCTGAACTTCATGCTTGATGTGCAGAAGAATGAAACTCTTGACTTTGGGTTTTACCGATTAGACTGATAGATCTTTATAGAAATGGCTTGTTCATATTATTATGAAAAAGCAAAAAGTTGTGATTTGATGCCTTATTTTACTGTAACAGGGAGAGTCGGAAGTCAATACTTTCCGTCATCTATCCTCACTTCTCTTTTCCTTCCCCCCTGCTTTTCTGTTTATTTTTTTAAATAATACTTTATAATTCATTAAAAATATGTTAATAGAAATTGAGAGTTGGGAGAAAGTCTAGAACTTTTGTGATAGCAAAGGAACATCATTTTTGTGAGGCAAGCAGATCCAGAAGAGATACTGAGCTAGCAATCTAATAATCCCTTTAGGAGAGTATTATAGGATAATGGAGTTGGAAGGGACATCTAATTGCCAATGGTATAGGAGACTGTAGATCCAATGATTTAGGGAACTTGCATAGTTGTCTCCATTTATTCTATGGTACCGTGTTTTTTTTTTAAAACTGTGCTGAGTGTTCATTGTAGGGTGTATGGAGGCAAGTACTTATGTATTTGGGTGGGTTTTGTGGTTTCTGGATATACATGAGTTTGTGGGCACTCTTGTGTGCATCCTGAGGACAAAAGAGTAAGGGGTGTTCCATTATCTGCTGTTTGCCCTTAAGATCCCTTGTTTTGTAAGAGGATGTAGGAATAGTATAGGATCCTAATTTCTGGATTAAGAAAGTAGCTTAGAATGAACTATGTTTATAAGCCAGGTTCAAGCGGGGATTTCTAATGTGATTTTGTTTAAACGATTTGTCTCAAATTCTGATATTCAAGTGACATTTAAATTGAACAGATCTATGTACAGAGCATACAGTATTAAACATATCTGTGGTTCATTGCCATACGTCTTCTATATCATTATGTACTACAAAATAGTTGTAGTGAATTTTTGGAATCCTTAAACTCTAGGTAAGCTTGACATAATCTAGCTTCTTCATGGGAAAATGTTATAGTTTTCCAGGGAATAAAATGGTTGCCTTAATTATTTGGCTGTGCGTGGTTTTATATTAGAGATACTTTTGTGGTTATAACACCCTTACTATTTATACTGACTTTTAAATAAGGTTAGATCCTCATGTCTAGTTATCTTGGAGAGAGTGGTAGAAATCTAATTTCTAACTTTGGGGTAGAGAGATAGGCAGAGAAAGAAATTTTTTTGGTTTTAGATGTTATGTTTTGTTAACTTTCAATTATTTTTTTCTATCCTTTAACTGTTACAATGTTTTTTGATAGCCTAGGAAAAGATATTGTGTCAACTTTATAGATTTTCTAGTTCTATACTAATTTATAAATATCTGGAAAAGGACTATTTAATCTTGGGTGGTTCATACTTCTAAAAACTCCACGAGTGCTCAGAAATTCCTTTCAGCTCATGGAGGAAAAGAGAAGACTCCAGGATACATTAATGGCTTGACCTTAAATATCCCAAAGTACTTCCAGTTACTCATAATAAGTACTCGAGCACTAACTGGCAAATGCTGGCTCAGCTATATCCTGAGTTGCCTTGATAACAAGTTTGGTGACCCAATAAATAAAGGTAACAATATTTTTGTTGGACTTGGCCATTCCTATATCATGTGAATAACTTACTTTAGAAGCAATTGATATAATTAGATGATGCCATCTGAAGTGGCCAAATGGAATGTAGTGCTGAAAACAGCCACCATTTAGTCATCAAGGGAGGTATTCGCCAGCTCAGCCAATAGTATTAGTCAGCTCTGTTTTTCTAATTGGCACCAGCTGCCATTTTGTTTGCTTGTCACTTGGCAGTTGCTGGGTCAAAGCCAGATGGGTTGTCTGAAGCCTGTGCATGTGCCTCTTGCTAGAAATCCAAGCAGTGCATGGAATTAGCTGGGAAAGAATGTGCTGGTAATCTAGTCTTGCAGAAACACAAGGGACACTCTCTCCTGACTCTGCATTTTATAATCTTGTGAAATTAAAGAAGAGAATCAGAGTCTTCTGCGTATCCCGACCTTACCTATATTTATAATACATCTTAGAACTGCAGGAACGACATGTCCAAAATTAGAAAATTCCACTATGCAAGACATCGGGCCATAATTGCTCCATAGCAATTGCTCCATAGATAGCACAGTCCTGATCAAAGTGTAGAGATTATTTTTTCCTTCTCCTGTCTTGGTCTTTGAATCTAGTCTAGTAACATGAGGACTCTCTCCCTCTTCCCTCTGTGTACGTCAGTGAGAGAGAGAGAGAGATTCGGGGCAGGTAAAAAGGACTTATGGGATGGATTGATACACCAAACTAAGTGGTAATTGCTTGTTTGAAGATTGGCATATTATATGAAATGAATCATTTTAGTCCAATTTAAGGACAGTAGTTATGTAGTCTATGATTTAATATGATATGTGAACCTAGCTGCAGCAACCAGTGGGTATGAAAGATTGCACATGTTCCCTGATCACTTCCTGTTGGCGTCTAATGGCCCTTGAGGGGTCAGAACGTTGCCCTTGCAATGAGCTTTTGGTCTTACCTGACCATGTTGTTCAGGTGTTTATATGGCAGCACTATTTTTTAAGCCAAAAAGGAAAAGGCATTTTTGTTCTGTCACATTGACTTTTTTAGTTGTTAAAACAAGCTTGCATGAAAGTACAGAACTGGGACCTTTTAATAGCAGTCCACTCAGTAGAAGGCTTTAAAAGCTTCCACTCCAAGCTCTCCCATCTTTTAATTAAAGAGAGTTGACCTTTACATATATTTTGGGAAGAATAAATATTCCAAAGAGCTTGACTCCCTTTCCAAGAATGAGCATTTCTTTTCTACACATTTATATTGTTTTTGGTTTCTATATACTTGAATAGGTATATGTAATTTTAACTTAATTTTGAAAATCCACATACCACCATGTGAATGTCCTGATGCTGGTAGATCCCATGTTTCTGTGAACTGAGATGGGTGATCAAATATTGATTGTGCTTGCAATGATGAAATTACTACAGTACATGTGGCATCCTCTTAAGTTTAATCTTGTATCTGAGAAAGATAGATATAACCATATAGTGTTTTCCAGTTTTATCCCCTAATAATCCTTTGAGGCTGGTTTAGCTGAAAGCATGACTTGACTCCAAAAGCTTGGATAGCAGAACTTGGGTTTCCCCAGTCCTTGGCTCCTTCCTACAACCAATAAATCACCTTAGTTTTTTGTTGGATGAGGTATGAGGTAGATCTACTTGCAAGGGATCTGGCGTTAGTGGTTTTGTCACAGTACTGTTGGATCTCTGGGTTTACTGTGGACTCATTTAGTCTGTTTATGTTTCAGTAGAACTTCAAACAACATTTGTGGTGAAAAGTTTGCTTTTAAATCTATCAGAACTGGTGTTCTTGAGTAAAGAAAAACACCATTGTAAAGATGAATTAAGAGTAAGAACAATGTCAAATTAACTGCCAGTAAGTTTTTTTTTTATGGCATGGTTGTGTTTTATGCCAGATGTTTCTGCTCACTGTGGATATACAATACATATTATATAGTAACATAATGAGAGTCATATGAGAATTGTCAACCTTTATGAATACTTAATAATGCTGCCTTGGACAAAAGTATTCAGGAACTGAAGTTTTGGCCTGGAGCTTTTTAAATTAAACAGATTGCTTTCTTAGTCTGGCTTAGCTCCCATGAGGATCAGGATGATTCACTGAGACCTACAGTTAGTTGAGTAACACCCATGGAGAAAAGCTCCACCATGGACCATACTAATGACATGACTATAATCATCACAATAGGAACATGTACGACCAACTGTATTAGTTAATAATAATATATTAGATCATAATACTTTTTGAACTTGGAATGCATGTAGGGCTTGGCACACTAAGGACCCAAAGCTGAAACTGTGTAATGAGATTGGCAACATTTTTAATTGTGCCCACCAATTTCTATTCGTTGCAAAATTATGCAAGTTGACCATTTATTAGAAATGCTCTAAGCATAGCCTTGGCTGAAGGAGTTGCCATGTAGTTTGTGCATAGGTGGGTCAAAGGAAGATCCTCTCTTTTTCTTGTTAAAGGCTGCCTGTGGTTCGGTAATGTTCCAAGTATCTAAAAAGGTTAAAGTTTAAATTTTGGTCCAGCTGCCATGCTTTAACCTTTTTAAATGCTTTTGGCCAGGATGATTGAGTCTTCCTGTACAAAATCTCCCAGTAATGTCTGCTGAAAACGAAGATTTGTTTTCCATTCAGAGCAACATGTGACAATTTGACTGTTGTAATAGTGTAAGTTTTACTTGTGCTTAATGTTGCGGAATGCGGTATCATATTCTCAAGAGTCTATTTTGGAAGGTAGCTTATTCTCCCATCAGCCGAGGCTGCAGTGTGGATGGCATTCTTAAGCACCAAGTGTTGGTGAGTAGTTATGGAAAGTACAGTTTGAACCTGCTGATGACACCTTTCAAGGTTCTGCTTCATGCAGTCTGTAGAAGCCACCTCTTTCGTTGAAGAAAAAAAATACGGATGCCCAGCCCAAATATGTTTTGGGTAAGTATTAATAGCAGTTGTGCATTGGCAGTGGAATAGGTTGTTTCTGATGAATAAAGCTGGATAGAAATATTACTTCAGGGAGATTTGGGTCTTGGTTGGATTTGACAGTCAAATTCAGGAATAGAAATGAGGTTGTTTGTTATCGATCTATCTTGCCTATGATGTGGCCAAATACTCTGGAATTAACGTTCCCATACTCTTGAGAAACACCTGCCTCACCTAAAGGGGGATTAATTTATTCCATTTTTCCTCCCGAAGCACAAAGAACAATTAATTCTACTGTCTTCTAAATTCATTGCGGTCTAATTTCAGACTCTATTTTCGATCACCTTCACTTCACTGAAACTGCCCTTGAATTAACTGTCCGATCTAAAGTCTTTATTCAGTTTTCCTTTCTACCATCTTAAATCCATTTGATTGCACTCTCCTATTTAAATTCCCAAATGCCATAACTCTTCATCCTGCTGACTTGTTTTCCCTTTCATAATTTCTTGTCTCTCTCTTCTCTCCCTTCCCTCCCCCATCTTAGCAGGGCTCTGCAGCTGATGCTCCATTGGCCATTCTGGGTAACTTCTCAATTTAACAGTTTTATCCATTCCTTCTATGCCCATCAGTATTACTTGTCATCTAAGTATACTCTTGATTTTGTCTAACTCTGGTTTATCCATCCAGCCTCTACGTATTTTTCTAGTAGTTCTGTTTTGGAGCCTCAGTATTATCTCAGGCTTAATATCTCTCGAGGTTGAGCTTATCCTATATCTTTCCAAAGGTCCAGCCTCTTAATTTGCATTTCTTGACCATCAGTAACATCTGCCTGTCAATCAAATGCTGCTTTTTATGTTCTCTTTTCCTTCCCAACCTTCCTCCTTCGATTGTCAGATCAGGATTTCTCTATATAACGCCAATTGTGGTCTAGTGGTTAAGGCACCAGTTAGAAACTAGGAGACTGAATCTTTGAGTTCTTCCTTAAGCATGAAAAACATGGCTGGGTGAGTCTGGGCCAGTCCCTCTCTCACACCTCAACCCACCTCACAGTGGGGTTGTTGTGGAGAAAAGAGGGGGAAGGAGTAGTTGGCATGAGGGGTCCTCGGTACTCTCTGAACTTGCTTGCCCATTAACCATACAAGGCAACATAAGTATGGGTAGTCATGACACCTCTGCAAGAAAACAAGCTCAGAGAGCACCAAGGACCCCCCTCATTTCAACCCTGGGCTACAAACATTCTCCTTTATTGGCATGTTTGAGTTAACTTGTAAAAAATAAGGTTGGACAAAAGAAAAATATCTAATAAAGCAGATCTTCCTATCCATTCCCTGCTCACTTGGTTGCTATTTCTTCATCCAGAGCTTTGCCACTGAGGTGCCACACCCTCAGCCTTGCATGGCATGGGCTTCACATCTGGATTATGCGCAAGCTTGGCCTTGTTTTCAGCACCCTCTCCTTGGCTTGGCTTCTCACGTTGGTTTGCTGGCGTATGTGTTCCTTCCTTTGCGTGAAAATGCCTCCAGGCCGCCTGCCCGCCTGTTTCCTCAAGAGGCAACCTGTGTTAGAAAGCCCACTTGGGTTCTCATGGCAGAGCGTATTCTAGCTATGTATGTGCAACTGATGTAATATTGGCACTCTGCTTTAGTCTCCCGCTCTCCCTCCCCCTTTTCGTTCTCGACGTCTGCTGTGGTAAGTTTTTGGGAGTAGATGCCAGTTTTACCAGTATCTGTGGATGTGGAGTTGATAGAAAAATAAGCACTAGAGTGAGATTTGGTCCCTTGTGAGGTTGTCATATCTGGCTGATGTAAACATGCTTTGCAAAAGCAAGTATCTTTAGAAACTGTATGGCAAAGGTGTGATGCTGCATTTGTTGGGCAAATGTTTTTTCCTCTCCTATTCCACCTAGCTCTTTATTGCCCTCTTTGTTTTACATCAGGACTCGTATTGTCTATACACCCAAACCCCTTGCAAATCAAAGAACCAAAGAATTATGTGACTGCTTCTTTTAAATCTGATACTGCCATTGTTATTTGGCAGCTTGAGCCAATCTGCTCAAGAGAAGGTTGACCGTCCCATAAGTGGATGGAAGTAGTGAGAGTTGTCCAGCACAGGAAATCTAGGCTGGTTGGGCGTTGCTTTGTTTATTTATTTATTTATAGGAGTCCCCCTGCAGCAGAGCGTGTCAAACTCAAGGCCCACTCAAGGCCCACGGCCTGCATCCGGCCCGCGGGGGGTTTAGATCTGGCCTGCGAGGCCAACCTGGAAACAGCAAAGGACTGGTCCATGGTGCCTCTGCCAACAAAAACAAAGCTCCGTTTTTGCTGGCAGAGGGTTTCAGGGGTTTTTTTGCAGCTGAAAAAAAAGCTTGGCCACCACATGTGCCTCTGTCATGACATGTTGAGCTGGCCACATCCAACCCAGCTCCTCGATGTCAAACACAATCCTGATGCGGCCCTCAATAAAATCGAGTTTGACACCCCTGCCCGTTGCTAGTCGTTTTTGACTCTAGCGGGCAGTGCTCATCTCCATTTCGAGGCTACTGAGCCGGCGATGTCAGAAAACATTTCCCAGTCCTATGGCCAACATGACCTTATGCAGCATTGTTGCCTTCCCACCAAAGTGGTGCCTATTTTTCTACTTGAATGTGCATGCTTTCAAACTGCTAAGTTGGCAGGAGCTGGGGTGAGGATGTTGTGTGGTGCTTGAGTCTCGAACCTGGGTTGCCAGCTTTCTAGCCAAAAAGCCCAGCGTCTTTAACCACAGGGCCACCATGTCGCTCCTCTCCTCTCCTCGTCTGTCTGTCTGTCTGTCTTTCTTATTCTATTATCTATCTAATCTATCATCTATCTATCCCACCTTTATTATTTTTTAATAAATAACTCAAGGGCACAAATACAATGCTCCTTCACACACAATTAGTCCTTTCGCCTCCTATTTTTATGAGAGAGAGAGAGAGAGAGAGAGAGAGAGAGAGAGAGAGAGAGAGAGAGAGAGAGAGAGAGAGAGAGAGGGTTATGTTTTGCTTTTCCAAAAAGTGGTCAACATTAATTTTGTTACATGGCATAAAATAAAAAATCAATGCAGAAGATTATTGTGTCATTTGCAGAAAAGCAATTAGTAGTCATGTGGCTAAAGTAGGAAATATACAGTTAAGTTCAGCAAACTATTTGGGCAGATTGTAATTTAGCAGGATTGAAAGTGGATATTCTTGAGTTTTTGCCAGAATAGAATAGAATTCTTTTTTATTGGCCAAGTGTGATTGGACACACAAGGAATTTGTCTTGGTGTTAATACTCTCAGTATACATAAAAGAAAAGATATATACATACATATAAAATCTACAATGGTGAGGCAGGGCATTGGGCAGGGTTTACCCACACAGTCTGCGTGCCAGATCCCTCCAGTATAGGTAGTCCTCGACTGACAGCCACAATTGAGCCCAAAATTTATATGTTGTTAAGCGAGGCATTTGAATTTTGCCTCATTTTACAACCTATTTTTTGTCACAGTTATTAAGAGAATCACCACATGATAAATTAGTAACACAGTTCAGGGAATCTGGCTTCCCCATTGACTTTGCTTGTCAAAAGGTCGCAAAAGGGGATCACACGGCCCATGGGGCACTGCAACAGTCATAAATATGAGCCAGTTGCCTAGCATCTGAATTTTGATCACATGATCATGGGATTGCTACAAAGGTCGTAAGTGTGAAAAACGGACATAAGTCCCTTTTTTCAGTGCTCTTGTAACTTTGAACGGTCACTAAATGAACTGTTGTAAGTCGAGGATTACCTGTACTTTGTTTCCCTAGATCTGCTCATCGGCTGCTCTCCTCTCCCACCCTCAAACCACTGTTGCTTGGAAGTTGTGTGTTTCAGTTTGGACATGATCCACACAAAACTGGCCCTTTGTGGGCTGAACACTTTGTCCCTCTTCAAGCCAACCGTAGTGAGCAAATTGCAGATAAGATGCAATTC